TTGAGTTCACAATGGAGAGCTGTGGAGGTGTAATTGTCTTCACTACAATAGAAATTTTGTCGGATTGACATTCGAATTGATCATTATTTGTCAATTTTGTATAAACTTGCAATATTTCTATTTAAAGGGAACATCCCGGATTTTAACAGAGTCTCAGAAACAAAAGTGTACGTATGAAATTTAAGTGCCAAAATATAGAAGAATGATGTATTTACCTTGTCTCTTAATTTCAGTTCGAAATATTCAGTCGTTTTTGACGTCAACGTCAAAACCGCTTATCCGGATACGTAAATCTTTTAAGGGTTAGATTCAATTTTTTTCGTTGGACGACCTGATAATCTATTGCCGTTCTTTTAGAGATCTATACAGTACATGACCTACGTGCTGCACTTTATAACGAAAGGTACATTTCACCTACACCTTAATTTTATAAAATACAAGCCAGGTTTTATCAAGACACCGTACAATACTGCTTGGGACACCGGGCTCCGTTTCCAGATGAAGACTGGCAGGTTTAAGTTGAAAACGTATCACGTAGATTGAGTTAGTTGCTCTTTTACCGATGTTGATAACAATGCTGTAGGCTTTGCTAGCGTTGGTAAATGTGAAATGCATTTGGGGTGGGCGTGGTTTGCCGAATGGTTAGCGCGTGTGCGCTGTATCATAAGGTCTGTCATTGAGTCAATTGGCGTGGTTTCGATTCCCCTGTTGTACGTGACAAGGAGTAGAGTCGCCTGTCCAACCTCGTGGGTTTTCTCCGGTCCTCCGGTTTTCTCCAACTGACAAAGACCCCCTACGGGCAAGGGAATTGTTAAAAGAAAATTGAGCCATATGTTAGTCCCGAAATGACCTAGTTTGTGTCGAATGGGGTTAGACCAAGCATTAGTTGAGTATGCGAAGAGGGGGGGGGGGGGCTTAGCGGGTTAGACGCTGGCTCGCTAACCAGGAGCTCTCGTGTTCGCTCGCGTTTTTGGCCGAGAAGGTTCATCTGGATTTTCCTGCCTGGTTGGTTTCCTTTTGTCCATGGAGCAGAACGGAAGGTGAGAAAAAGCGAGGTCCTGTGGACCTAAATGAACCCCTTACAATCGGAATTCGAAATAGGAATAGTTCGTAGTGCTGCTGTCCTTGATAAAATACTCTGACGGCAAACTGTATAAGCCCAGCAGATGCAGATAAGTAGGACGCTAAACCCCATTTCATTTCAAAATAAATGTTGTTTCGTGCTTCATAACTGCATAACTGAATGCATCATAATGGCATATCCATGCACTTAATCCTTCCTTCAACTACCCCCCTGAGATGACTAATATTTGGAGTGACTTAGTCAAAGATTAAGTACAAGTTAACCTTCCAGAATATCACATTTTATGGTATTCTCGAACAATGATTAGGCTAATCAAAGTTAATAAAAATCTTAGTTTAAAATTTAGTCAGCTTTCCAGAATATGACTGGTCAGAAAATCGGACATTAAACCTATTATCACTAACCTACGTTCGAAAATATGGGCCTAAATGACTGACCAAGCTAACCAACGGAGACTGCCGATGAAAGGTCTGACAATCGAGGGTACCGTAGGCATAGAGAATGTTACTTGATAATCGAGAATATGTGGGCGGAGTTACCGTCTGTCAATCAAACGACCGGCAATTCTCAGAGACGGTGCGGAGACAGTTGATACCCATTTCTAGTTCAAACATCCAACAGTGATAACTTAGTTCAGAATAAAGTATATACTTTGACTGATATTTTGTTAGGGCTGCAGCCAAATATTAAAGGGGTCTCAATTGTAGTTCTAAAACAATTTTGTAGCATAAATAAATGATTATACCTGTTACGGTAGAGGTTAATAGGGGGGACATAAACTTTTCACAGCTACGATGAGTCAACCACATGGCATACTGACATACAAACTGTATTTTGTGTAAGTGTGACGGACAAAGACCAGAATTAGTATGCCGCCTTTGCACTGTTGTCGGGGCCTAGTGGCATTTTCAACCAGGGGCCCCTTGCAAGCTTCATCCAGGACTTGGCTTTACCATTCAGTGAACTATGCGAAATTTTTTCTCAGACAGCGGTGTTTTTGTCTACTCTTCGTGGACTTTAGTTATCAGTGCAGTTCACTTAATTTATATATCACATGAAAGATATTTATATGCTAGAACTCTATTGCTGTAATATTGCCCATTGTAATTTGACGTATTTATGCAAATAAACGTCATGGTGACTAAAGACACATTATGTAAGATCTAGATCTATCTGTTCTTGCTATAATAGATTAAAAATAGATAATGAAAAGGGAATATATTGAAAATTCCAGACAAGCCACTTTATTCTGGGCGAAGTTATGGATCCCGAAGTTTTGACAAAAAGTAACATTGATTGACAGGGGGGAACTCTGCATATTCTCGATTGTCAAGTACCACTGTCATAATAATCAACAAAGTCTTGATTGTCAGTCCTTTCATTGAGTCTCAATTGTCAGTCCTTGTATCATGTCTTCGGTCATATGCAGATATCGAGAACATTGTCTAATCCACTCAGTATCTATGCCATCCGATAAAATAGAGAGTTGAGAATGGCTTGCCGTGTAAATAAATGTAACATTTATATTTCGTTTGAAGCCTGACAACAGGTCCATGTAAGTTTAGCTCTTGCACACCGTCAATGTGTAGGCTACACGGGTTGGCCTTGGTTTGTTTTTTTTTTCATCCTGAAGTTTTGTTACTCCCGCATGAGTCACCCCCATAACTGAAAAAACTGGGATATTCCGTTCCATCTGCCCCTCGTAAAATGTGGTCCAACTACAAACTTGTTCCTAATTCAAGTGTGGATCAAGGTATTTCTGGAATGGGAAGATGGTATAGATCCAAAACGGAGGCAAATCGAGTGGGTCGATCGAAAGAAGCCTTATTGTAAAACGACAGTTTTCACTCCAACACAAGGTACAATTTTAGAAATACACAATTACTGAATTCGTTATTATGCAAAGTTTCGTGAATACTTTGGTCATTATCAAGCAAATTCTAATTGACAGATTTTTAGTCCAAATTCTCTTTTAATTTTGCTAAACGTAAGTTTTTTCATTGAGAAATTAAATTTATGCCAACATGATAGTTCTTGACATTTTGGAGTAACACACTTGAATGAATGCTATAGACATTATTTATTTACACTACAAACTGGTGATCTTCCATCAAAGACGAATATTCTGATTATCTGGGGGGATCACGGTGGCTAAGTGGGTAAGATGCTGGTTCGCTAGCCTGGAGGTCGGGTGTTCGATCCCTGCATTGGCCGAGAAAGTTCATCCCGATTTTCCGGCGTGGTTCTCCACTGTCAGTGATGCAGGACGGAGGGGCTGACAAGGACAGCTGTCTAGTCGTTCGGATGGGACGAAAAACCTAGGTCCCATGTACTCATTGGCGTGCACGTAAAAGATCCCTTGACAGTTGGAATTCGATATAAGAGTAGGCCGTAGTGCCGTTGTCCGGGCAAAATTTCCCTCATAGCACACTGTAAGGCATATGCCCGTCTTCATTAGCCCAGGTCGGAGCAAAACAGTAGGACGTTAAACCCCATTTCATTTCATTTCATTTCTGATTATCTGGATTAGCTACACCCAAGGGACGTCACTCTAATGGATAATCTGTACTCTGAAAACAACCGTCAATATCTGGCCATATATAGTACTGAAATCACTTGTTAATGTAGTTACATGAATAGGGGAGCAAAGTCTGCGGATTTTACCGCGAGGTTTTCCCATGTCAGTGGTGTGGGATGCAGGACTTGGCAAGGACAGTGTCTAGTCATTTGAATGGGACAAAAAATCAGGGTCCTGTATATACCTTTAGTTGCACATAAATGAACCCTTGACAGTGTAAATTTAAAAAAAAAAAGAGCTGTCCAGGCAAAATTTCCCTCAAACATGTAGCACATGGCATGGCATACATGTACAAATGTATGCCTGTCTTCATTACATGTACATGTAGGTCAGTTGTCTTCACTGTCCCAATTGGAGCAGAAAACTTTGACATTAAACCCCATTTCATTTCAATTCCAATTAGGAATAGTGCTCTGGTATTATATAGGATGTTTGAAATACAAGTACATGTAGGTTTACGTCATTGCTGGAACTTGTAATAATAGTTATCGCCAGGCAGCCCAAACAATTTCTGTTAATTAGAAGATTGGGTTGATATCAACATCCCCAAACCATCCCCGTTCTCACTCTGTACCATTTTTCAACAGAGCCAAGAGAACATGGAGAAAATCATCTGAATTATTTATCATTGTGCACAATGACATCCTACACTATAAAATAAAAGCAACAAGAAACAAAAGAATTTAAATGGGCTTACATGCACCAAGCTGGTTAATGGAGACAGTCGTACACCATGCAGTGTGCTTTGAGAAAGATTTTGCCTGGACAGTGGGTTTTTTTGCCTATTCTTCATTGAATTTCAACTGTCAGAGGTTATTTTACGGGTACACAATCAACACTAGGATTAACCTGGGACTAACTGGTTATCGATCCAGTTCCCCACCCACTGAGTCACAGAAAAACAACACTTGGCAAACCTCGGACGATTCTGTTAATCTACATTTAGCCTCGGTTTTATGACGGTAAGTGATACATGTATTTACCTACGCCTATACAATTGTGATGCAGCACCGGTTTACTTATTGGGAAAACTTGACTCTTTTAAAAAGAAGTTATCAAAATTCTGTCATTCAATCGAAACGTGTTTAGAATTCTCAATGCAAAGTTGTCCTTGTTTGAAGAAAATCAGATAAACTTGAAAGAAAAACAGCTCCAGACTTTGAAATATTTGTATGATAAAACATTCTTCAAAGGCGGCGTGATGGGCAAATAAAGCCGTTAGTAATCCAGGAACTTGAAAGTAGTTCCTATGGCAGACTTTGTTATACAGCCGATGCTAGATGTAGGATACTGGAATCTGCTGAGGTTTGCCGAGTGAGCAAAACAAAAGACAAAGAAAACAATTTAGACTATTTCAATTGATTGTCATCTAAAAAATAAACGCCAAGTGCTCCTTCTCGAAAATCTTTTAACACAATAACTGCCGCTGCTATAAAATCTGGAAGATAACGATATTGATTTGTATCAGGGTCCAAAATCTTCTTAACTTTTTTATATTTTATGGCCACTTGAGTCAAAAATTCTGTTACACTGTCTGTGGGTTCGATTAATTCGTATTTTTCAACATATTCAAACCGCTGGTGCTTATTGAACCAATATAGTAAATAATCAGCGACATTATCTTGTCCTATAAAATGATCAGGTATGCAGCCACACACAGCTAGCTTCATTCCGACATCCACAGTGGGAATTTTGGGCGTCAAGATTCCTGGTGTATCTATGATGAAAGTCACAGGATCCATGTGAACTTTGATCTTTGTTAAAACACTGCGGGTTACCCCAGCAACGGCCCCAACCTTTGTGGCCTTCCCCTTCTTCTTAATATGAGACCAACGCACAGCATTAATAAAGGTTGATTTTCCCACATTAGGAACACCGATGACCATAACATTATATTCTTTCAAACCTGTACGTTCATATCTTGGCCGCGACTCAATTAGATTTATAGCAGAGGGCAATATTTCTTTTTTTAAGATCAGACTTTTTTCGTAATTCCGTAGGTCAGTGTAAAATATTGTGTCCACTCCTTGTGATTTGAGTTTAGTTTCCACGCTAAGCCTTCTTTCTGCGTTGATGTCAGCTAGATCAATTTTATTTAACAGTAGAAGATGTGGCCTCAAGCTTATGATATCTCGGAATCTCGGATTCCGACCCGAAAACGGAATTTTGGCATCGTGGACTTCGATAACACAATCAACGTCCTTCAAAATAGCATGCATCCGTTCCATACTTTTGAACATATGACCTGGAAACCATCGTAGGGCTTCTTGATTTGCAACCTCAAAGGTTTTCCTGAATGGTTTTGATATCTGGTATATCCGACTGGACATAATTTTCCAAACTTTCCACGCTGACGCCAATCTTCACACAATAATCAAGTTTCTAAGACTTAAAACCGAGCTTGTTTGTTATTCAAGGGGGCAGCCATATTGGGAAGGGGCACAACTCTAAGCACCCCAAGTGGTTAGACCACAGTTAAATTTCGACAGAAAACAAAACACAAAGAAAAACAATCAACAAAAACTGCAGTGTGCTATTTTTAAAATTTCAATGATCATCCATATTTGATCCGCCATTTATGTATTTCTTATTTCATTATAATATTTCATGTAATCATTTGTTTACATGCCGTCCGCACAGGCTGTTTTTCATGTACCCTATGCAATAAGAATTCATTTAAAGGACAATATTGGTGTCAGTCATTATCACATATGTGATAGAACTGGTTAAATACGTTCGAAATATAATTTTAATACAGAGATCATTACTACGATAGATGCGTTGTGAAGCTTTCAAGAAAAGGAAGTGCCGAACGCAAAGGAAAACACGAGTGATCCTTCTATATAACTGATCATGATTGAAGTGACGAGTGATAACAGATCCTTCGAAGACCAAAAATTAATATGTGAGGCTGTGAGAGGATATCTGATAATTCAAAAAAGTAATTGAATGCCACTAGATAAGGGAACGTACATTCCCTTGTTTTTATTCATTCTATACTTTATAAAAACATGGTAATGCACGGACATTTCTATTCTTCACGTTTTCTCTTATCTAGTGAATTATTTTTTTTTGAATTGTCAGTTATCCTCCCACAGTCTCATATAACAACTTTTGGTCTTCTAAGGAATTATTAGTGAACAGAAATTCTGCCGTCAATCTGTTATCACCGGTCACTTCAGTTAGTTATATAGAAGGATAGCTCGTGTTTTCCCTTTGCGTTCTCCACTCCCCTTTCTTGAACGCTTCATAACGCATCTATCGTAGAAATGATCTCTGTGTTAAAATTTTATTTTGAATGTGTTTAACCAGTTCTATCATAAATATGTGATAATGACTGACACCAATATTGTCCTTTAACTTTAAACGCTACTATGACGTTTTGTGTGGGTGAAATAGTTTTGTTTTACGTCCGCTTCTACCTAAGTGATATCGCAGACAATATGACGTTTTCCATTTGCTAGCTTCGGAAGAGGGGATCATAGAGCACCAGGTGGCATATTAAACACATACAGTATGCAATAGCTAACTCTGCCTATTGCAGGTCTTTCTTTAGGCCTGAAATGTTTTCTAAATTATTAATTAGACATTAATTAATCAACTCTCGGTGGCATCGGACTTCTCCGATATTAAATAGATTAGAACGGTTCAGTTATATTTTGATTTAATTTAAAAATGGAGGAGCGAGACTTAGCTTCGAACAACCAGTACGGTGGTTGAAATTATTGTACACGTCTTGTCAAAACATCAAAGGCAATATCTTCGCTCGCAATAGAGTAATTTGAACGAAATTTTCAAATTATTCATTTTACATTTTCTATTTTCGAACTATTATCTTACATAATGTATCTTTAATTTGACGTTTTCCATTTGTACATATGAAATTATATAATTACCGGCAATTAATTAAATGGCTTTAAGTTAAATTCTACCCCCACACACACAAACACATTTTAATTCAGCAGGTGAGATATTTAAATTAGTTGTTTATTTTAGTTAATTGCAACACACTCATCGTCATCAAAATCCTTTTGAAACATATCAACGATCTCTGACACTTTCAGTCATTGGCGCGAGTCAATCAACTAATCAAAATGGCACATGAAAGAGATCTGTCATGCCAATATAGAAGTATAAAAAAGGGAGAAACATTTTTATGGGTATCACAGTTATATGTTTGCTTCACTAACTGATTGTAAAAAGCAATTCAATAGGGAAAGAAGATATTTCAAAATCTGCAATGGATCAGATTGTTGTCAGAAGTTTGCTTGTTTCCATGGTAATTCAATTCGCTGAATCCAAACACACTCAAGATATTCCAAGATGGCTGCAAATTTCATCAAAGACTGTAAAAGTTCGACATCGCCATGGGATGCCTAAGGAAATTCAACAACACGTAGAAATAATTCAGATGTTTAATTCTAGTAAATCTTCAACAAGCTGTTGCTTAAATGGCGGGCGGTGTATTTTGGCAAGCTTTTGTCAATGCCCAAAGAATTTTTATGGACGTCGTTGTGAACATAAAAATGTTGAGAAGCCATGTGGACGATTAATGCACGGTGTGTGGGTGAAATCTGATTGTAATTTATGTCGCTGTTTTAATGGTTTAATGAATTGCATACCAATATCTAATCCCGGATGTGACGCTGAAAGGACAAAACAAGATCAGATGAGAGATGTGTATATTTTCCCGCCAAAACGTCATGTCTACCGCCATGTCAGAAAAGAAAATGTCCCCCAGTCCGCAGCTGTACAGACAATGAATAGACTATATTTGTTAACTATTGTGTTATTTGTTTTATGTTAGTATATAGCATGACAAGAATTAATATTGTGGTGATAGTTATTGATTGTTGAAAATTGAAAAGAGTAATACTCTTAGCCTATATTTTGATAATTAAGTAGGAGCGACTATGATACGTTTTGTTACTGATACAGTTATTCCACTTGATATGTATATATCGTTTTATCAATGTTTTGTTAAGTTTGAATATAAACTATAATAAATACTAAATATACTTGATTTGCGTCCCATATCTTATTATTTGTGTTAGCTTTGTTCTATTTTGGTGGTTTTTTGGGTGTTTTTTTTTGGGGGGGGGGGTAGTGGTTTAACGCATGCGCGTGAAATCACAAGGTCTGCCATTGAGTCAAGTCGCGTGGTTGCGTTCCTCCCCTGAATGGGACAAGGAGTAGGGTTGTCTGCCTAACGTCGTGGTTTTATTGAAATAAATATGAACCATATGTTAGCCCTGAAATGGCCTAGTTTGTGTTGAGTGGGAGTTACCCCCCCCCCCCCCACACACACACACACACGCACAAACACCCCCCCCCCCCTTTCTCTCTGTTGGTATGTTATAGCCTACAACGACCTAATAAGAATAGAGATAGGGAAATAAGATACATGCACCTCGGGCTATAAATTTTTACGAACTTGTTTTTTTTTTTGCTTCTTAAAGGGTAACACACCGTGACCCAGAATAACAAACGAGCAAAGTTTTGTCGTTCTGACTCCTTCACCTGAGCCTTTTTCGTTATTCGGGATTTGAATTTTAAATAACGAATAACGAGACAGAACATGTTTCGTGATTCGAGATTGAAATACAGTTATTATTTTTCTTAGAAATTTCATATTGTTATTGTCCATTTGTCAAATAACTTGCTTTGCTTTTATTTAATTGACTCATAAGAAGGATGCCTCAACATAAAAGAAACCACTCTTTTCACTTCTATGTAATAGAACAATCCATTAAAAAGAAGCCACCCCTTAATAAGTGCCCCTCGGTCTCTCGACATACTACTATCTATCATTGAGTGGAAATACGACGTGATTGCTTTGATCATCCTTGATCATCAATCATTGGCTCGAGCCGGGTAGTGACATGCCTGTTTCGGGTTTATACTACGACATTCTGTTTCACAAAACTCCTATAAGGAGCCGTCACTGAGCGCTATCCGGGCAACATCGGACAAATAGTTAATAATTAATGAATGCCACTTCAAGATAGTACTTGCTTAAATAATAGAACGAGAGATGCTGATATGGCTTACCCAAGGACGAGCGTATTATCCAGGAACCCACCATGAATTGTGAAGTCTTGTAAAAACTCGAAGTCCGTCCGTCGATGCGCAATTGTATAGTTCGTTTAACTCTATATACCCGTTACCGTGAAATTTTATTGTTGCATTCTGTTTCCTGGTAACTTAATCAACCATATTTATTATGATATGCAACATATGGTAGCCATGCGAATAAATCAATAAATTAAACATATACATAACTAAGATATTATTATTGTTTCTTAAAATTTCATATCATCGTTGTCCATTTGTCTAGTAAACTATGGCCTTTTTTTTGTTCAACTGACTTACAGGAAGGATGCCTCCGCAGTCAATAAAACACACTTATTACTCCTGTGTCATAAATGAGGCTATTTTGTATTTCAAGTTTGAGTAACGATTCATGAGAGAAAATGGGTTTTGTTATTCTGGATTGATTCATAATTATTATGTTTTCTTGCAAATTGTATATCCCTGTTGGGGGGGGGGGGGGTCGGCTTTAGATGATAAGGTTTGCCATTGTGTCAAGTGGCGTGGTGTCGATCCATACTTGTACGTGGCAAGAAGTAGGGTCACGTGCCTAATAAAAAACACCAGTTTACTTGACAAATGGACAATAATGTTATGAAGTTTCTAAGAAAAAATAATAATTTTATTTGAATCCCGAATAACGAAATAGACTGTCTCGTTATTCGGTATTCAAAATTGGAATCAAACTCGAACAACAAAATGGATTATTTTATGACATAGAAGTGAAAAGATTTTTTTAAACTGTTGATACATCCTTCTTACAAGTCAATTAAATAAATTTAAAAACCAGATTACTTCACAAATTTACAAGAATGATATAACAATTCTAAAAAAATAATCATCATTTGAATCCCGAATAACGAAGCACGTTCTGTCGTGTTATTCGTTATTCAAAATATGAATCCCGAATAACGAAACACGACCTGTCTCGTAATTCAAGCTCGAAAAGCAAAATGGTTTGGTGTATGGCAGAGAACTGAAAAAGTGTGTGTTTTTTACTGTTGAGGAATCCTTCTTATAAGTCAATTACTTGACAAATGGAGAATAATGAAATGGAATTCTAAGAAAAAGTAATGATTTTATTTGAATCCCGAATGGATTGCTTTATGGCATAGGCGTGAAAAGTTGGCTGTTTACTGCATAGGCATCCTTCTTATAAGTCAATTAGGAGCAACCGTGGATCAGTGCGTAAGACGTTGGTTCGCTAACCAGAAGGTTCCTAATTGGCCGAGAAAGTTTATTGAGATTTTCCGGTGAGGTTCGCTTTGTCAGTGGTGCAGGTCGAGGGACATAGCAAGGGACAACGTAAAGTCGTTCTGAAAGGACGAATAATCGAGGTACCGTGTACGCATTGGCGTGCAGCTGATTGGTGTTTGGTATCGTCAATCCATATACAGAAAAAAACCAGTTGGGAAAAGTGAACTTCTCGAAGTAAAAACCACATGGCTGGGCTTGTGAATCATTTCTTATAAAAAACTGCTTGTGCGATTATTTCCTTAAAATCTGTTTGTATTGTGAAGATTATCTTGTCTTAAAACATCTCAAACAAATCTTTTAATATTAATTTACACTTCAAAGTTCAGTTTTCACCACACAAATGGATCAATTTAAATTAGTAGATGAGATACCTAAGTATGTCGTTTTGTCTTTTAATTACTTTTAATACCTTTCTTGATCATCTAATCACGTCATCAGATTCTTTTAATCTGAGCAACGAGCTCTGCCATTTCCCACCATTAGTTATTCACGTGAGTTAATCAACAGATTGAGCTGTGATTGGCACGTGAACGAAATCTGCCACACTAAGAAGAAGGTATATAAATAAAGAATTTTTTTAGTAAAATATTATAAAACTGTTCCATTCGTGAATCAAGTGACAGATAAACACGAAATACACAATTTTTACCATGGATAAGATTATCACATGTCTAATGTTTGTTGCCATGGTAATCCAGTTCGTCGAAACCAGACAAACACAAGATGTTCCAAGATGGCTGCAAATTTCAACAAAGACTGTAAAGATACGATATCATCATGGTGACATTATTCCCAAGAAAATTCAACAACACGTAGAAATAATTCGGATGTTTAATTCCAGTAAATCTTCTACAAGCTGTTGCTTAAATGGCGGGCGGTGTATTATGGGAAGCTTTTGTCAATGCCCAAAGAATTTTTATGGACGTCGTTGTGAACATAAAAATGTTAAGAAGCCATGTGGACGATTAATGCACGGTGTGTGGGTAAAATCTGATTGTAATTTATGTCGCTGTTTTAATGGTTTAATGAATTGCATACCAATATCTAATCCCGGATGTGACGCCGAAAGGACAAAACAAGATCAAATGAGAGACGTGTATATTTTTCCACCAAAACGTAACGTCTACCGGGATCATGTTAGAAAAGAAGACGACCTCCAATCTGCAGCTGTACAGACAATGAATAGACTATATTTGTTAACTATTGTGTTATATATTTTAACTTAGTGTAGACCCTGGCTGGAATTCCTCTTATGGTGCAAATTAGGTGATTGTTGAAAAGAATAAAACTCAATAGTATAACAGTAGGAGAGACTATGATATGTTTTGTTATTGATACAGTTATCCGAGTTGATATGTACATATTGTTTTTCAATGATTTGTTAAGTTTGAAAATAAAATATAATAAATACTAAAATTATATTCGGATCATCATTTGTTTGTCTGACTGAATTCTTCTTGCTAACCAGGGGGTCGGGTTCGATCCAGGTGTTATGCGAGAAAGTTGAACGTATTCTTCTGTCTAAAACTTGCAGCCATTGTCAGTTCCTCTGTAAAGTGTATGGGAGATAACTCATGTTCTTTAGATAACTCCATTTAATTAGTAGAAAAAATGAACTAATTTGTTACTGCATGTGAACCTGCCCGCCCTGCTATAGGTAATTAATCAATCTACAAATTTAATAAGCTAGAGATGCAGATTTTCTTGAAGTTCACAGGAACTAGACTCAAGTTAAAATCGTGATGCAAAGTCTCGACCAATAAAATTGCTTATCACTCTGCTTAACTTGAGTCGAAAATGTTCATTATAGACCTTAGTCAAGGTATGGATATAATGAAACTATACACCAAGTTTCATTACCCGGACTTAATTAAAAACAAAGTTGCTCTATCCCATAGCATCGACCAATCATATTGCGTATCTCTGCTTAGCCTAAACAGAAAATGCTCATCATCAAACTCAGTCAAGGCATTGGCCTAATAAACCCCTACACAAAGTTTGAACATTCTAGCTCAATTATAAGAAAGGGAGTTATTATGTCCCTAAACGTGTGATGGACAGACAAACATATTTTAATAGTCCCCTTCTTATAGTTGGAATTGGATAAACAGCAAATCCACACCCTATCACAGGTGACCATATAAAAAAACAACTTTGAATTAAGTCTCAAAATGACTGAAATTTCCACAGTTTTCGAAGTGAAAACCAACATCACAATCGAAATGAAAATGAAATCAAATGGCTTACAGGGACGGTACACAGATTTTTGTCAAAAATTTATATTTTTATGAAAGCTTCTAGTGGAATTTTAAGATTTTGATGATATTTTTCAAACAAATTTTATAATGTTTTTATCACATTTCATGACTTTTTATGTTTTTATCATTATCAAATATTACGTTTTTATTATATATCTGCACTGATAATAAATAACTTTTTAGTTTTAGTGTTCAGCCATTGTGAGCTGCAAGCTGGGGGTCATAAAATGCCTGGATGATTTTCTTATTCACATCTGGATTTATTAGTATAGAAATTTATTATTGGCAGTAGCGATTTATGGTTAATTTTATACTTTGAAAAACATTTTTGTCTCATTTTATGATCATTTTATGAGAAATAATGAAATTTTATTTTTCTTATGATATTTTTTCATTTTATGAGAAATGATGAAATTTTTTGAAAATAAAAATGTTTTTATATTGTTTAACCATAGGCGTAAGAGCGAGAAGGACAGGGGGACCGGGGGGTGGGGGGCAGCTTCCCCCCTAACTTTTGGGCAATCTGACTTTTCAGGCAGATGGGTAAAGTGAAAACAAAAAATTATTATTTGATCTAGTTGGCAAAATAAAGTGCCCGAAATGGGTGAAATCTAATAAAACACCAATTTTACTTTTTTTTTAATGGAATAGCCCGAATTTATACTGAATTGACTATGAATTAAAACATTTTGTCTGCAGTCACTCTACTTTGTACAACATTTTCGGTCATCGATTATTATTTGTGAATGCAGCTGTTACAGTCTGATTGGATGGTTGGAATTCAGGTCGGCATTAAAAGGGATTTCGGTTACAAAACCATTGGATAAGTTTGGAGTTGCCTTAACTCACGGGCTAGAATAGCAGAAAAACGCATTTGTGATCGATTACATTTTCAAAATTTTCTCCAGGAGGGCGAGTCCCCCATACCCTGTGATGATTGGTTGTTTGTTTGTGATTCGGGTCAGCCACCTCAGGTAGTTATATGTTATATTGGACCACATTGAAGTTGCTGTATTCAAGGGCTGAAATAGCAGGAAAATGCTTTTGCCGCAGTTAAATTTTCAAAATTTTCTTCTTACGGTCCCCTGCCTCTGTGAACTGTAAACGACTGATTGGTTGATTGGAATTCGAGTCAGCTGGGGGTGGGGGGCTAACCCAAATTTTTCGGGCATTTCTAGTTTTGCCCCCCTAACAGTCATTGAGCCCGTACGCCTATGGGTTTAATGTCCTACTGTTCTGCTCCGACTGGGCTAATGAAGACGGGCATACACCATACAGTGTAGCCTACTATGAGGGAAATTTTGCTCGAATTTCAACTGCCCAGGGATTTTTTACATGCATACCAATGTGTACACGAGACCTTGTTTTTTTGTCCCATCTGAACGACTATACGTTGTCCCTTGCCAGGCCCTCTGCACACCACACTCAACTGCATCTCTAATTTTAACTTATAATAATAACAACTTATAACTCTTCAAGTATAACATGAGCAATTTATTTTTAACTGTCGGGTGGCTTCAAAAAAGTCTTTCGCTCTATTCTAGACATTAACCTTCTTGCGAAAAAATTTCTATATTCCTCGGGTAGTTCATCTAAAGTTTTTAGAGCACGGTCTAATATCTGCGTAGCTCTTTGAGCAGGTAATGGATCCTTGTTTCCGTATGGATCTTTTTTATCATACATTATATCATCTAAATGTTTCCAAAACACATTCACAGCTATACCAAAGTCTAGAGATATCACATTATGAAACCATAAAGCTGAAAAAAAACCAAACAAAACTCTTTTACAAAATAGGTCTTTCAATTCTGCTGACTCAATTTATAGTAACAAAGAGAAAGAGAGAGAAATGGGGTTTAACGTCCACTCGACACAAACTAGGTCATTTTGGGACTAACATATGGTTTAATTTTTTTATTATTATTTCAATAATTCGCTTGCGCGTAGGGGTCTTTAGCAGTGGGAGGAAACCAGAGGACCCAGAGAAAACCCACGAGGTTGAACAGGTGACCGTCCCTACTCCTTGTCACGTACAACCGGGGATTCAAAACCACACCAGTTGACTCAGTGACAGGCACTTGCTAACCATTCTGCCATCCACCCCCCCTAGTAACAAAGAGGTCTTGGGTTCGATTCTGGTGTTGGCCAAGAAAGTTCCCAAAGATTTTCCAGCGTGGTTTTCCCGTGTCAATAGTGCAGGACGGAACAAAAAACAGAGGTCTTGTGTACAACTTATCATGCATGTAAAAAACATATTGAATGTCTTGGCAAAAATTCTATCATAGCACACTGTATGGCGTATGTCAGTCTTCTGTAGCCCAGTCCGTGCAGAAAAGTAGGATGTTAAACTCCATTTCATTTAATGAGATAATATTCATTTAATTGGAACAAAAATATGGTAATGATGTAACTAATCCACTATAAAATACATGAATGTTAAAGAAGTAGCTTCTACTTCATATGTAAATATATGTAAATATATGTAAATAATCATAATCATATATAATCTATTGGATTTTAAAGGAGCAAAATCGCTAATATTGGCAACCTAGAAATTGACACAAACGGTTCACAACGCATATAATAATGTAATCTGAATGTACATAAACTGATTTACATTCAATTGTTTCTGTTTTTACTCTAATTTCAGATCAGTTATGTTCCGCAAAATATGCCAGAAGTCTCAATAGAATGGCAATCTCTAGCATCTGGTTATTCCAGTCTATTGCACATGCTCTGCAGATAAGAATATGATGTCACCGTTTGACATGACTTGTGGAGTATGTCTAGCCTCGTTGTTCCAGTCCCTTGTTACAAATGGTGCCGAAATGCATTATAGTACACGATTCGTGTACCAATGGTAAAAGCCGATCTTTACCAGGTAAGATCACAACATCAATGTTGATTGAAATTTAACAAATAATTTGGTTTTCAATATTGAATACTTTGGATGATATTGAGTTAAGAGACTGAGCTACTTTAATTAAAATTATAATAAAAAAACTAACCTGGTATAAAAAGAACATCCCCAGGTCGTAAAATACATTCATATCTTACAGCTTTATTAAATTCACTATATCTACCTGTATCAGGATTATCTATATCTAATACTTCAGATTTATCACCTGTTAATACACAGAGAGAGAGAAGTGGGGTTTAACATCCACTCAATACAAACTAGGTCCCTTGGGACTAACATATGGTGCAATTTCATTCCAATAAATCTTGGATGTAGGTGTGGTTTAAGTCCACTCGACTCAACCTAGATCATTTCATAAATCTTGGATGTAGGTGTCTTTAGAGAGAGAGAGAGAGAGAGAGAGAGAGAGAGAGATGTGGTTTAACGTCCACTCGACTCAAACTAGATCATTTCGGGACCAACATATGGTCCAATTTTATTTCAATAAATCACTTGCGAATAGGGGCCTTTAGCAGTGGGAGTAAACCGGAGGACACAGAGAAAACCCATGAGGTTGGATAGGCGACTCTACTTCTTGTCACGTACAACTGGGGAATCAAAAATCACGCCAGTCGACTTAATGACAGACCTTATGATACAGCAGGTGTTTTTAGGACTTGGAGAAAATCCTCAGGGTTAGGCACATGCTTTGGATCAAAACCATGCCACTTGAATCAATGACAGACTTTATGATCTAAAAGGCACATGTTATTGTGACTGCTCACTTCAGACATGTTTAAATTGGACATGGATTCACTGGCCCCTTTGCCATTGATAATAAGAATTTGTGTGGCTAGGCACTGAGATTTCTCTGGTCAATGATCCAAAAGTCTAAAAGGTCATTGTAGCAAATATATTTTCATCTTATTATGTTCACGAAGTTTGAGAGAGAGAGAAATGGGGTTTAACATTCACTTGACACAAACTAGGTCATTTTGGGACTAACACACGGATCAATTTTATTTCAATAATTTGCTTGCGCATAGGGGTCTTTAGCCATGGGAGGAAAACGGAGGACCCGGAGAAACCCCCCGCGGGTGTCACATACAACCAGGGAATTGAAACCACGCCAGTTGATTCAATGACAGACTTTATGATACAACGTGCATGCACTAACCATACGGCCACCCAACCCTCCCCCCACCAGCGAAGTTTGATGAGGATTTGGCATTTGTTTATATCAATTGGTAACACCCTCTCCCAAAACTATAATTAAAATGACTTTACCGTTTAAATATAAATAATTAGCATCTGTTGGACTGAATAAAACAACTCGCTTTTCACCTGACACTTGTATTAACATGTTATCCATTATCTGTGAAAACATAAAAATAATATTTATACTTGCTGATGCATTACTGACATAAATGATTATCAAGTTATTCTAAATGGGCAAGGACAGCTGTCTAGTTGTTCAGATGGGGTAAAAAAAACGAGGCCCCCTGTACACATTGGCATACACGTAAAAGATCCCTTGACAGTTGGAATTCGAGATAAGAGTATGCGGTAGTGCCGCTGTTCGGGAAAAATTTCCCTCATAGCACACTGTATGGTGTATGCCCGTCTTCATTAGCCCAGTTAGGAGCAGAATAGTAGGACATTAAACCCCATTTCATTTCATTTGATTCTAAATGTGGTTTAGCATCCTTTTTTTTGTCACTGACTGGGCTAATGAAGACAACGAAATTTCTTAAATGAGTCCAGTCCTAAGTTATAACTTACATCATAGTGTGTCCATAATTGAGTTGATTTTGAGGCTATACGTAAAACACTTGAGAAGAACTGATGCTCCTCAAAGAGATTAGGGAAATTGATATCTGTTGCCAGTTGGGGAAACTGTTGTTTGATATCAGCTACATCCTTTCTCGGATCTCCCCCCAAAGCTCTCAAATAATACTTCTCATTCTGAAATAACACAAAACAAAGTTACAATTTAATTTAAAAAACAGATAGGCTTCTTCCCTTTGTGGGAGCTGGCATGGCTCATTGAGTAAGTTGCTGGTACACTAACCAGGAGGACCGGGTGTGTTTCTGGTGTTGGTCGAGAAAGATCCCAGGGATTTTTCAGCATTGTTTCAACTTGTTAATGGTGCAGGATGGAGGATTAGCAAAGGTTTAATCTCACTGTGCCCCCCAATCAACTGGTGTTGTAGGGTAGTGTTGTGAAAATTTAAGTAAACAAAGGATTATAGACTGTATCCTTATTAGTACTGTTCACCTAGTTAAAATTTAATTATTTTAATGATTCAAATATATAAGTTAAGTTCACGTGTCATCGGTTAACGGGTATCTTAAATATTATTCACCTACCTTTCATTCAGACAGTACTCATAAATCAATCAAATATATGATTAGAAACTCACTATCATTATATAAGGATAGTTGTCACCCCCAATTACAACTTGTCTACGATATCACCTTAGGTGGAAGTGGACGTAAAACCCCAGAAACGAACGAAGCCCCAATTACATTATATCTTTTAAAATGGCTCAAGTTCGCATAGGGTTTATTCCTAATTCTCAAGGAGGTCAAAATTTAGTTAATTTGGGGTATAAGTACAGAGTTAAAAATACGAAACCCAATAGCACCAGCAGACTTTTACTGAAAATACAATAGTTCAATTGGATAACGGGGGACGATTGCCCCCTAAAAGACGAAAATATAAAAGAGTAGAAGAATCTATTAATGATCTAAAAATCAAACTGTTAAATGGAGTAAAAAGTGCAATTGAATATACTGACGCCATATCACATTTAGTAGGGTTATGATTTATGTTTGATACATGTATTTGTTGTTACTTTTATGAAATTTATTGTGAATAAAGTTGTTAATTAGTTTAAACCTAGTAGTTTAAAAAAAACAGACTATACTTTTAACACCATTGTATTTGATAATCCCCTTGCTTGATTAATCCCCCCATGAGAACAATAGCAGGGGGTACAGTGAGATGTCCCCTTAGCAAAGACACTGTCTAGTGATTTGGATGGGATGAAAAACCTAGGTCCCGGGTACATGTTAGTGTGTATTACGTTAAACTCCACTACATTTAATTACATCCCTTGCCTCAATGACCCATCCTTTGTATCTCAAATAATCGTTATTCTATACTGTCTACAACAAATATCAGAAAATTTTGGCCAAAGACAGTATGGAATAAAATATTTTTCATGAAACAACCAAATTTATTAACAGGCATGTTCAGAGACTGTGTAGTGAATTATAAAGTGATGGGGAATGGGGGTGCATATCTGGCATTTGCAAGAATTTATTTACCTCATCTATAAAATATTCCTGATGAATTTCTTCTGCTGCCCGTTTAACAAATACATCAAATGGTAAAGATCTGTAATATTAAATAAAGTAGCATTAGCAAGGAGAGTAAGATAGAAATGGGGTTTAACATCTACACAACACAAACTAGGCTATTTTGAGACAAACAATTTAATCTTTATATCAAATATGTGACCCGCTCCCACAAAACCAGGCGCTTGTCGCACAACTTCATTTTGTACTATGGGCACAAAAGCATAACCTGTATGCCTTCTTGTTGCTGGGAATGAGCCGAACTCAACTCCAGATGAGACGACAAATTTAAAAAGAATTGCATTTTTGGAAAGCTTAGGCTGTAGACTATTCAAATATGCTGCCAGCTCTAATTTGGTGTTATGGGAGCAGTTCACATATTTGCATGCACAGATGAAATTAAACATCTTTTCATTTTATTTCCAAGATGTAGATCAAGGCATACCTGTACAGGAAGTTTTTACTGATGAAATCCATTTGTGTTGTTTTACAAACATGCACTTTGACTTCTGATGAACCTCCTATATCTGATAAATAATCTACTGTCCATTTTCCTGTACATGATCCAATATCCAATCCTTTTAATACCACAGGTCTTCTCTGAAAAACATTTACAAATAGTTGGATTATTGTTTCTGTATTGCCGTTGGGCAGTTTATTAGTGCTGGGTATTGCCACTGCAGCCACAATATGATATGTATTGCAATTCAGGTGCTACGATACGATTTGTATCACGATTCATAACCAGGTCAGTATTTACCTAGAAAACATCAGGATAAAGGAATAATTGATATTTTTAGTCCTGCCGATGTCCAAGAAAAAAAAAAAGTTTTATATCAATTTAAGATATTGATGTTAATCAAAATAAGGACCAAAACAATTTAAGAGTGTTTGTAACATGGATAATTAAGAGTGACGAGTTACTTAATTAGTAAAGCGAGAAAATAAAAACATAAAAAAAAAAAATCATGATACATCGATTCGGCATCTTGCGATTCAATATGCGAATCGTGAAAAGGTGAATCGTGATACATCGATTCAACGATATATTATGTCAGCACTACCGTTTAGACTTGATTGTATTAATTTGGTTAAGAGTTTTCTACCTTGGAGACCCATGCAGGACTAACTTAAGTTAGTAGCCTTATTAATTGTTGATTTTAACGTTAAATATTGCAAATACAAAATAAATATCATTAAATTCTTTATAGAAACTGTTTATTCTGAAGTTATTTCAAACTTTATAAGTTCAACCATTTGGTTTTCTACAGGGAACACACTCACCAACACCCAAACAAGTACGGTAATTAACAAGCAATCTTTCTTGTTACTTAAAGTATTACCTCACCTGTGGGTATATTTCAGATCTGAAAATATCTTCTGTAATGTTAGAAAGTGTTTCTACTTCGATGACTTTTGTTTTGTTAATTTCTCCTGGTGTAAAACCATTTATATTTGACTGCCCTGACATGATGATACTGCTACACTTTGACTGTCGCATACATAGTATTAAATAGTAATTTTTTCTGCTTATTTCTCCTGCTTTGTATGATTGTAAATATTATTGTAACATTGTTTGAGTGGCATCATATGTTTAGAAGTTAAACGGTTTTATGATTCTCAGCCTGACAGATAGTCCGGGGTGTATAGACAGGCAATTAATTCACTGGTTGTGAGATCTGGACACACAATAATCAGAGGTATTACCGGGTGCCAGTTTTGTTACTGTTTAACAAATAACAGGATCTCGTGTCTCCATTAAAATTAAAATATAGTTATCGCCGACAAGGGAGATAACTTCCAAATTTACTCTTCAGTATGGAAGGGCGATTATGTCCATTGGCCACCGGGTCAAAGAAAGATGATGAACTGTCAGCTGCAGAGAACTGTTTTACATCGTTTAAACGGTATCTGTAAATGTTTCCAGAAAAACAGCAAACATGTCATAGCGGCCATTATAGATGGAGGGGGTATACGTACGTCAGTGCCAACGGGTTGTCAGTTTTCTACTAGTTGTGTAAATAGTTCAGGACACCAAGAAGTAAAACGTACACAAGTACAAGTGCCAAAATACCCCTCATCAAATGAGTATCTACCCTTTTCATTTACCTCACATATTTGTGCCTCTCCATGTCACTCATTTATAGCCAATCAAAACAATTTTAGTACATTTTCCCGTGGACATATAATTATCAAAAACCATACCAGTCATTCGTCAGAAACAGTAAATTCTGTGCGTTGGTTTAGTGACAATAGCGAAGATGGAAAACAAATAAAAAAGGCAAAGTTAATGGACTTTGGGCCCGATAAAAAACTTCCTAACATCTTCAAATCTCTGAAAAATTACTGGTTTGGACTATTAATAAGAGGCTATTTTGATCCAGAATTCAGTCTTGGAAATTTTTTAGCTGGTGCAGAGCAGGTAGATTACTGTAAAGTATATTATTGTTTTTTTAATTGCCCATATGATCTCTTTGCATCTTGAGGCTGTAGCGTGAAAGGAGAATTTTGCATGGGAAATCTGTGTTTTCACGTAATCTCTCAATTCAGGCAATTTAAAAATTTTCTTCTTGCCCCATATACTTGAAATTCTAGTTGCTAATGCAGTGCTTTAACCACCAAAAAGCTAGACTTTAGTTAGAATTACTGTATGTCTTTCTTATCGATAAAGTATAAAGACCAATTAAGGAAAAGCATGTTGTATGACTGCATCAATCTGTTTCACAGAGAATTACGAGTCTAGAGTAATATCTCTGTCAAAGATGACTGCCTTAACACGTGCCGTCACAGCACGCGGCGTCAATCATTGGCTGAATGGCGCATGCATTGTTTACATAAGACATTACTGCTTCGGACGCAATGCTGCCTTTTAGTCATTTTAATACCCATTTACAGTAAATAGGAAATAATTTTTACCTACAAATACGTCAAACGCCTTTATTTATTTTTCCAATACATAAAAAAAAAAATGTTTTAGAATTTAATTTGTCGCAGGAAAAAAGTTAATATTTCTGGCTCATTAAGTCGCATCGATGTCATCCTGATCAGTGATTGTAGCGGCCTAGCGAAAAATTCACTGCTGATCAGTGTGTAACTGCATAACACCTTTAAATTTAACTCCAAAAAAGTTACTGGCCTATAACTCCCTTAATTTCCAATTACACTGACCCCAAACTGTACTGTACATAGCTTAACATATAATAAACCAATTCCCATTGAAATAAAGGTGAAACCTTACCGCATAATTATATTATTTGATTAAACCCAACTGCTATGCGAAATTTCTGTTCATTTTAAAGTGGCCCCTGAACCAGAATCACATGCTTTTATGTCACTTGAAAATACAGAAAAACTGTTTGGAAAGATAAGATTAAGAGTTCAGTGTTTCACCCTTCACTATTTGTAACATAATTGCTTATTTCCATGCAAACTGTGATGAAAATTTTGCAATTGAACCTAATTTTACTAGCTCAAAGACTCAAATAGTGTATCAATTGTAGCCGTGAATAAGAATTACCACGTCTACAAATATTGCAGCTAGCTCCTTTATGTCCACACTAACATATTTACAGGACCTCAGGAAAATCTGATATTAAACACAAATTACATTATTTCAGGCTGTAGTGGTTGTATCACAGTTGGTAGGAGAAGGTAAATTTAGTGACTTAAATGGATTAGTTGAGGATGAGGTAAGACCAAATTAAATAAAGTCATTGTTTATAAATTTTCTTTTTCACAAGCAAGTGACCCTTGAGACTTGCATACAAGCCTGGAAATAAGGAAACTGTCACAGACATTGTTAGGCACAAATTCAGGCATAATCGCTTTCATACTTGGGGGTGTAGGGGAGGGGGGGGTGCTCGTTTTACTTTTATTCTATCTTTTTACTGATATTATTAATAAATGCCAGGTACAAGGTTCAAAATATCAGGTACCAGTATATACACCATACAGTGTGCTAGGAGGGAAATTTTGCCTAGACACTGGAAATATGGCCTACTCTTAATACTAATTCCAACTGTTACGTGATCTTTACATGAATGCTAATGTTTCAATGCCAGGCCCTCTGTTCTTCATCACTGACAAGGTGGATCCATAGGGGATGAACTTTAGTGGCAAACACCAGGATCGAAACTAGGACCTCAGGTTAGCAACCCATCACCCTACTCAACTGAGCCATCGCTGCTTCTCGTCTGGCTCATGATAAATTTACTCTTTTTTTTTGTGGTAAGGTCTGCTGTATTATGCTCATAACAGTCTCTAATTTGTCAATGATATTATAGAATGAAAGAAAACCGTTAAATAGAATGAAATCCAAATAATGTTATCCCCACATTTATTGATTGTCTTACCCCATGTAGAAATATTTGCTTCTATTGGTATTCAGTTGTATAGTTTTAGGGAGCCGTATTAGCTCAGGGAGTAAGATGTAGGCTCACTAACCTGATCGAAGGTCCAGTGTTTAATCCCAATGTTCGCCAACGAAGCTCCTACATTAGCCTGATCGGAGCAGAACAGTAGGATGTTAAACTCCCATTTCATTTAATTTGTCCGATTTTAACAATATTTCCATTTTTGATTTTCGTGATAATGGGTTTTTTTTTTGCACTGTAGGCTATCAAAGAAATAGAAAGAAATTATGGTTATTTAAATATCAAACAAAAAAATGAGATACCGGTTAAAAGAGAAGACATAATTCATCGTTTTATCTATGAAATAGGGATGATGTTTGATGATAATAGTAGTAAGTATTAGCAACCTGATTGAAATAAAGATCTATAGTTTGTTTTGTTTTATACACCCAGATTGGAATGTGGTTGTATAGTGTCATCTGTCTGTCCGTCTAGCATCCTTAATTTCTTGTGGATGCTCTAGAAGCTAAAATCATTATCTGATTGATATTAAATATGAAGACAAAGAAACCTATTGATTTTCAGAGATCTCTGATAACTACTGCCAGCGTTATGGCCCTTGATCCATTTGATAAATCTTGTGGACTCCATGAAGGCTAAAATTACGATCCAATTGACTTTGAATTTACACATATTGGTTAAGGTCATGAGACAAAGAATCCTACTAATAATTACTGCTGGAGTTTTGACCCTCGATCTCTTTGAAAAATCTTGTGGATATTCTAGAGACCAAAGTTATCATCCAATTTACTTTATATATATATATATATATATATATATATATATATATATATATACAGTGTTTAATGTCATGAAACAAAGAAGCCTATTGATTTTCAGAGTTGTTACTCTTGATCACTTTGAAAAATCTTTTGGACCCTCTGGAGGCCAAGTTATCATCTTCATTGACTTTAGATTTATACACAGTGTTTAAGGTCATGAGACCACAAAGCCTATTGATTTTCACTGATTTCCGATAATAACTGCCAGAGTTATGGAGCTTGATCACTTTGAAAAATCTTGTGGATGCTTTAGTGGCTAAATGTAGCGTCCTTTTGACATTAAATTTATGCGTAGGTTCATGATATCCAACCGTTTCTGATAAATATTGACAGAGTTATGGCCCTTGATTTTCAACGATTTCTGATAAATAGAAAAGCTAAGTATGTGACTGTCTGGCAACCTATCTTTTATACTTACGATGGCCTCCAGTCCCACTATATGAAGATCTGACCAGTTGTAGTCGGAGGTCATGTCAGCGGTCAGTCATACAAGCAAATTTTTCCCTTATGACATTAGTCATGTAATTAACCAATCAACTTTGGTGTTCCAAGTGGTTATTTGAAAATACAACTTTTGCTTTGTTTTGTTTGGCTACCAACAGTTATGATTGCCACATGATAAGATCTCGACTCAACAGACCTTTTGATTGGTTAATCCATCACATCACCCAGATCGGGGTTGTTTTTTTTTAGCAAATCTTAGAGTCTGGTGCAGTGAAGAGAAGTAAAACAATCTTTTGAAATATGAAAAAACGAAACGAAATAGGATTTATATTTTAATCAGCTTGTAAATAATAGCTATGCTATGTCCAAGCCAGGACATCGAGCACTTGTCACAGGCTTTGTCAAATACAAATTATCACACAAGTGTTTATGTATGACAAGGACTCTGTGACAAGTGTCTTATGTGTGACAAGGACTCTGTGACAAGTGTCTTATGTCCAGACTTGGCTATGTCCTTTAGATCATAAAGGTCTGTCTTTGAGTCAAGTGGCTTTGTATCAAGTAGGGTAGCCTGCCCAACTGCTAAAGATCCCTATATACAAGCAGTTTTATTGAAACAAAATTTACCATGTGTAAATCCTGAAATGACATTGTATTGTATCCAGTCAACATTAAACTCCATTTGTATCTCTCTCTCTCCTAATAGGAAATTAATAGAGAATTGGTAGTGTTGACAGTGGGTTTATACCATTTTGTGACCAAACACTTTTTATTTTCAGAGAAGCGTTTTGTTGAAATAACTGTTGTGGTTTTCGGGGAAAAAGATCGTCCATTATCAACAAGATTTTTTCCAGATATTAATAGATGTTTTATTTGCAATTACAGGTAAGAATTGTTACAGGTAGAGATATTGGCAGATATGACAACAGTCCCGGGTATCAAGGTTTGGGGGTGGATTTAAGTTATAATAAATTGAAATTTCATCGATTTATGCTGCTCGAGCGTAACAAGACGCCATATCTTTTATTGTTAGTGGAGAAATCCGACGGGCCTAGTTTAAATACAATGAAATATTAGTTATGGATATTAGAAAATTACCCAAACCACATGTGGAAAAATAAATCGCATTGTACAATTAAATACTCCATCGCATAAAAAGATTCTCTTTTGATGGAATGGATTTATCACTTTGACATCAGTGGAATACCATATATTCAACGTAATTACATCACTTGTCAGGATATATCATTTCGTACAAAGCTGGACAGTATTCCATAACTGCCGAAATGGTTTGTGTCACTTTTACGATAATTCAAATTTTGTATGGTTTGGGCTTCACAGTAACACACACAAATTTGCCCATTATTTATTAGCCTATGTGACTTATATTATTTGTGGAATATAATGGTACTTACATATTCAACCCTTTCTGAACAGAATGTGTTTGGCTTCCCTTATAAATATGGTGGCCGGATGGTCTATCATATGTGCTTTAAATCATAGGGTCTGTCAAGTGAGGTGGTTTCGATCCCCCACTTGTATGTGGCAAGGAGTTGGGTTGCCTGCCAAAGTTTTGGATTTTCTCTGGGTTCTTCGGTTTCCTACCACTGCTAAAGACCCCTAGCAAATTATTGAAAAAAAGACTACCATTATGTTCGTCCCAAATGATCTAGTTTATGTTGAGTGGACATTACAAGTCATCTCTCTCTCTCTCTCTCTCTCTCTCTCTCTCTCTCTCCCTCTCCCCCCTTATAATTAAATAAGATATTTTGAACAACTGTATTTTTTTTCTGGTTTTTCAGGTTTATTAAAGAATTTACCAAAGGAGTTGAAAGTGATTGGACTATAAACAAATTAAATCATAAATTTACATTCTTTTCTCATTGAATGATATATACCCCCTCGATAGTACATATTTACATTGTATTTACTTGAAAAATACTAAAAAATTATCATCATAATCTGATAAATAGTCGGTAATAGATGCATGTATATCAAACCAGATAATAAGCAATCTATGGATTTTCCAACTTTTATTTTTGTTTATGAACAGTTTTGACATGGATGTAACTGAAACATTGATTGGGAGGGATGTAACAAGAGACATTGTTTAGGAGGGATGTAACAAGACACATTATTTAGGAGGGATGTAATAGAAACATTATTTAGGAGGGATGTAATAGAAACACTGGAGGTTGGTTAGTTTTTAAGGAATTCCAATAATTAACCCATTGGTAAATACTTTTAGAAGTTTTATTTTGTCATGGTCTGTTAAAATATATCTGGAGGATTAGATGGGTTTATTTCACTCAAACATTAAATTAGTGCTTTTGGGCTTTTGGAGATCTTCGCAGGTCGGTTAAAAATGATTTTCTAAATACTTATTTAATATGCAATCCCATTTCAGGGTACAGATTAAATTGTACACATAAATTGGGACAGAATTTCCAATCTGCTACTAGATATAAATTGTTAAATGTCCAACAAATCAGAATTTTGACTTGTTTAAAGGCTCAATACCACTCTTGTTGTAACTGAATAATATGTCCCAATCTTTATTCTGGTCAACAAATTGTACTATTTTAGAATATTTCAATTAATTGATGATACAAATTTCATCTTAACACACCTTATTTAAAAATTTTGAAAAATTCAACATAACGGTTTGAAACGTCTAACGTAAACCTTTTCAAATGAAACTTCGATTTAAAAATATTTTCGAACCCTCTGGACAAGTAAAATAGGATGTAATGGATAATTTACACAACAAGTAGGCCACTTAAACATCTAGTACTTAGATAGAGATATTATTTATTTTCTGGAGCTTTCAAGCCAGCAAGAGTGTTATTGTCCCTTTAACAGTGCTTGTTGTAAACTATCTAATCTGATGAAACACAATTATGTTAATGAACCATAAGACTACCCTTATCCCAGATTTCAAAACCACAACAGCAACACCAGAATTGATGGATTTCTAGGAATAGTGTTTATGGTCCACAACATGCTACCAAAGATGTGATGGCTAAACTCTGCCATGTGATTAAATATTGTGCCATATGACTTTGTGTTAGAGGAAAAGATGAATTAATTTATTATAAAGTCTTAATAAATGGCCCATTTCTTCATAAATTCTTGGGGTTTTTTTCTTTCTTATCTGTATGTTTTTTGGCAATAACAAATTGTTCATTATTCACAGAGTTATTGTTCTTGTTATGAAAATCTTGAAATCCTTCAGAATAAGGATAGGATCCATGTCTAAATTTGATAGCTGCATCAATGAGTTGCAGTTATTGACCCGTGATCCAAACCTTGACCCAAAGGGTCATGTGTTTGAGACATTTTTTAAAAAAAAACCCAACCCAAAGTGGGCTGTGGTTGTGTCAGTGATTGTTGAACCCTACTGATATTCAGATTCACACATCAATTAGTTGGAGTGTTACTGTATCTGTAAAAGCCAACTAAGTCAAACGGATTTTTACTTTCAAATTAACTCAGTCTGGTCCCAGACTAGTAATTGCTTCTCTTAATCCGTCTATTTATAGCAATTCTCTCTTTCACCCTTCTTCTTAGCAGTTTTTGTTGACTCTTTGGCCTAGAGGTGATGAAGAGTTTTATTAATGCAGATTTTTTGCCAGGATTTGATGGTGAATATTCCTGATTTTGAAGTAGGATGATCAGGAAATCACGTACAAAAATGACGCCAGTGCTTATAGATTCCTTTGAGCGGGCGTAGCAATCGCAGCTCCCAGAGATAAGTTACCCTTTGTTTATGGCCTGTGAGTTTTCCCAAAGAGAGAGAAATGGGGTTTAATGCCCACTCGACACAAACTAGGTTTGTCACGTAACGCGGAATCGAAACCACGCCAGTTGACTCAATGACTGACCTTATGATACAGCACGCACGTGCTAACCATTCGGCCACCCACCTTCCCCCTACACCTTTTTTATACGCCCACATTTTCATGTGGACGTATATTGTCGTCGCCCCTGTCCGTCCACAATTTGTGGACACTCTACAAGTACATAATTCTTATCCGATTTTGACGAAACTTGAAATATAGGTTTATCTCAAAAAGATCTCGGCTGCTTTCGATATTGGCATGTATCGGATAGAAACTTCATGGATTATGGCCCCTGTTTGGACGAAAAATCACGTTTTTAGCTTGTGGACCCTATAGAGGTCACAATTTTTATACGCCCACATATTCATGTGGACGTATATTGTCGTCGCCCCTGTCCGTCCGGACGGCCGTCCGTCATTCCGTCCGTCCACAATTGTTTGTGGACACTCTACAGGTCACAATTCTTATCCGATTTTGACGAACCTTGAAATGTAGGTTTATCTCCAAAAGATCTCGCTGCTTTCGATATTGGCATGTATCGGATCGAAACTTCATGGATTATGGCCCCTGTTTGTACGAAAAATCACGTTTTTAGCTTGTGGACCCTATAGAGGTCACAATTTTTATCCGATTGTGTTGAAACTTGAAAAGTAAGTTTATAACCCAAAGATCTCGGTTCCTTTCGATATTCGCGCATATCGGACCATAACGTCCTGAACTATGGCCCCTGATTGTACGAAAAATCGCGTTTTTAGCTTGTGGACCCTATAGAAGTCATAATTTTTATCCGACTGAGTTCGAATTTCGTGAAAATCGGCCCAAAATTGACAGAGAAAATGGCCACTGTTCGTTCTCAACTAGCGTAAAAATATGGTATATCAAGGTTGTGGACCCTATAGAGGTCACAATTTTTATCCGATTTTGTTGAAACTTGAAATGTAAGTTTATAACCCAAAGATCTCGGTTCCTTTCTATATTCGCGCTTATCGGACTGTAACTTCCTGAATTATGGCCCCTGATTGTACGAAAAATCGCGTTTTTAGCTTGTGGACCCTAAAGAGGTCATAATTTTTATCCGATTTAAAAAAACGTATTATTATATCACCGTTACACCCTAAGGGCGACTGAGTTCGAATTTCGTGAAAATCGGCCAAAAATTGACAGACAAAATGGCCGCCATTCGTTCTCAACTAGCGTAAAAATATGGTATATCAAGGTTGTGGACCCTATAGAGGTCCCATTTTTTATTCGATTTTGTTGAAATTGAAATGGTAGTTTATAACCTAAAGATCTCAGTTCTTTTCGATATTCGCGCATATCGGACCGTAACTTCCTGAATTATGGCCCCTGATTGTACGAAAAATCGCGTTTTTAGCTTGTGGACCCTATAGAGGTCATAATTTTTATCCGATTTAAAAAAAACCTATTATTATATCACCGTTACACCCTAAGGACAGCTGAGTTCAAATTTCGTGAAAATCGGCCCAAAATTGACAGACAAAATGGCCGCCGTTCGTTCTCAAATAGCGTAAAAATATGGTATATCAAGGTTGTGGACCCTATAGAGATCACAATTTTATTACGATTTTGTTGAAACTTGAAATGAAAGTTTATAACCCAAAGATCCCGGTTCCTTTCGATATTCGCGCATATCGGACCGTAACTTCCTGAATTATTGCCCCTGTTTGTACGAAAAATCACGTTTTTAGCTTGTGGACCCTATAGAGATCATAATTTTTATCCGATTTAAAAAAACGTATTATTATATCACCGTTACAACCTAAGGACGGCTGAGTTCGAATTTCGTGAAAATTCGCCCAAAACTGACAGACAAAATGGCCGCCCTTCGTTCTCAAATAGCGTAAAAATATGGTATATCAAGGTTGTGGACCCTATATATAGAGGTCACAATTTTTATCCGATTTTGTTGCAACTTGAAATGTAAGTTTATAACACAAAGATCTCGGTTCCTTTCGATATTTGCGCATTTCAAATTGTAATTTCCTGAATTATGACCCTTGATTGTAGGAAAAATCACTTTCCTTTTAGTTTGTTCTCTATCCATCTCTCGAAAATGTGGGCGTATCCTGCCTGGCAGCCGCTGGTTCCTACAGATGAACAAAGGGTAAACTTATCCGTGGGAGCCGAGATTGTGGGCGTAGCAATTAATCGAGGTGATAAACCACCTTTTGCAACATGCATGGAACAAGAACTTATAAAACGAACGTGCTCTGGCATAAGTGATAAGCTGAAAAACTTCCCTCCCATAAGCTGGTGATTCGGGAAAATTAATTAAGGGAAAATACAAGTCCCCACACATGTCGAATACGTAAATCCAAATAAGTTGTGCAATTTCCAACCCATCACGATAATTGAGGACTAAATATTCAAAATACCTGTAAGTTGAATCAAAACATTTAGTCAGTCGGATAAATTATAAACAGATCAGAGAGCAAATGAGCAAATAAGATCCCATAGGACTACCAATGACCAACTAAAAAAAATGATTTTCCAAATTCAACGCGTATGTCGTCAATAAGTAGTGTTAAAGTATTTCTTTAAGAGTTTTTAAGAATCGACGACTGATTAATGCTACCGGTTATTGCCACTGCTGTTTAATTAGGAGCCAGAAAGGTGGTCTAGTAGTCGAGTAGTTATGGCACTGGACTCTCGACTTCGATGTATTTATCTGACTCAACAAAAACAATGACGTATATCATATGTCTTTTCATATTTCAATCTGATGATCCCATGATCGGATTAAAATGGTGGGCATCGGATCTGTGTGGGCGACATCACATTCCACAATTACGGATGCAACCCGCTTACACTACAAAGCAAGACGAACAATTTCCGGATGGGTGCTACGCATACGTAACTTTCGCTCGAAAACTAAATATGACTATACTTCTCTGCAGGCAGTAGTGGATCTAGAAGCTGAGAAGGGTGGGGGGGCGCAAATCTATAGGGCGCCATCTACAATCCCACCCTCAATGAATGTCAACAAAATACTAGCTATAACACTGAGCGTCCCGGTAGAACATAGATCGTATTGCCTATAATAGTTGTTCGCCGATCGTTATCTCGCCTGAACGCAGTTTTATTCAAGTTGACATATAGTTCACGTCATATTATGAATGATTGTCATTGGTTTTGTTATTAAATTTGTGTGAACCTTTGGGGCAGTGGCTATAACACTGAGCAACCTGAAAATTTTGAAAGCTTGAGTCAATATCCTTTCATTTGAGGTCATTGCTGAGAGCAAATTCTTGTGAACGAGAGGACCAGAAATGGAAGTCAGTGGGACAGAATCTTGAGATCTTTCTGTCAGTTCGAACCCACGACCCACGCACTAGTGGTACTACTAACTGGGCGGTTCACTATAACCGTGAATATGATAGTGCTGAGATAGTATAAGACCACAGAGGAGTGGGAGATTGATGGCATAATGGAATCGAGCGCCGTAGACGCGAAAAAATTTCAGATAGCAACGTATAATATGTAACTCGGCTTTTAATTGTTTGGAACGTGTTAGGTCTCCCATTTCCCAAACTGTAGTAAAGTGCATAGTATCTATCGCTCGGAAATTATATATAGGTCTAACTATTTTTTCTTCTCTGCAGGTAGCGTGTCCCTGATGTTCAGAATGAGCCAAATAGTGTGCGGATCGTCTTATAAATCCGGTCGAATCCCACATTCTTCTATTCTAGCTCTTTTAACATGCAAATAACCATATTAATATGTTATCGAATTTGTATATCAACAGAGTTATTATGCTAAAGACTCAAACTTTTCTTTTATATTGCCTGTTTATCGTGACGCTACAAAGAACAGAAAACTCAAAAATGGCGAAAATCATGACGATATAATCCGCAAGTCAAACAAATAAACCACCGCACCCATCAAATCCTGATAAATCGATGTCTGATACCGACAAAATATCTTAAAATTTCTTTTGTTGCTTTTCTTTTCTCTCGCCTTGACAATATCAAATTCATGCAAAAATGTATCTCCCATGGGAGCTTTGGCTCTTTGCGAAGGATGTGTTGACATCCGATGAATATACTCATTCAAATTTATTCAAGCTCCATCGACACCGGTAGGAAGCCGCGGTGGCTCAGTGAGTAGTCTGGAGCTCCCGGTTTCGTTCCCGGTGATGGCCGAGAAGGTTCCTCGAGGCTTTCCGGCGTGGTTTCCCCTTGTCAGTGGTGCAGGACCGAGGGCCTGACAATGACAAAGGTCTCTTCATTAGGATTGGACGAAAAACCACCGGGTAAAATTGCATATGCCCACCTTCATTGCATATGCCCACCTTAACGACTTTGGCGCTCGCGGTGGCCGGGCTTTGCCGGCCACAGCTCTGCGGTCGGTGATCAGAGGCCCCCCACATGTTCCAGGCCCCAGGGCCCCCACCATGGTTAATCCGGCGTTGAACAGAGATAAGCAATTTGATTGGTGATGCTTTGGGACACGATAACTTTAGTTCTAATTATAGTGAGAGTGATGAAACTTCGTGTATAGTTTGATCACATTAATTAATACCTTGACTAAGATCGATAAGCAGAGCAATAAGCAATTTGATTAGTCGAGACTTTGGAACACAATAACTCTCCTTCTAGATGAGGTAGAACGTTCAAGTTTGGTGCAGGCGTCCATTGGGTGAATGCCTTGATGGAGTTCGATGATAAACATTATCTGCTTAGGGTAAGCAGAGATAAGCCATCTGATTGGTTTATGCTTTGGGACACGATAACGGTTTTAATTAAGTGAGAGTGATGAAACTCCGAGTATAGATTCAGTATATCATTACCTTAACTAAGTTCGATGATGAGAATTTTCTGCTTTAGGCTAAGGAGCGATAAGCAATTTGATTGGGCAAGACTTTGGAACATAACAACTCTGCTTTTAAGTGAGTTAGAATGTTTAAACCTGATGTAGATGTTCATTAGGTGAATGTCTTGACTGAGTTCAATGATTAACATATCGAGCTAAAGCTAAGCAGAGCTAAGCAATTTCCTTGGTCGATGCTTTGGGACAAGATAACTTATAGAGTGATGAAACTTAGTGTATAGTTGATAATGAGTTTGATTGCTTGATACTTTTGAAAAAAATGAATGTGTTATAAAAGTAGCTAAGTCTCTAACTCAATATCATCAAAAACCTTCGACAATGAAATCACGAATTATTTGTCAATTTTAATCAACATTGGTGTTGTGATCTTACTGGGAAAGGATGGGCTTCTGATATCCAATATTTAAGACAAAATAAACATTTTACTATTGGTACACGAATCGTGTACCATAATGCGTTTCAGCGCAATTTGTAACAAGCGACTCGGAAGAACGAGGTTAGACATATTCCACAAGTAATGTCAAACGGCGACCCATTTGTGTCAATTTGTAGATCCCAAATATTAACGATTTAGCTCCTTTAATTAATATGTGTCATCTATTTATTTTGGGATTTCGGCGGGGGTCATCAGCCTTACTGTTGGTTTGTTTTAATTATTTTCCCCAAAAAAACAATGATGAGTACCACCCATGCAAGATACATTTCAGTTTTACGAGTTGCCTATATGATAATCCGCCACTGGACATTAAGGTGACCGCTCCGCACCTAACCCGCGTATACCGTGTTAAGTTTTGTGCATTAGGTTAAGTTTACGTGTTAGTTTCCAGTTAGTTCGTCAAAAGTTTGCAAGGCGGTAAGCATTCGTCCTATCAATTGATATTTTATAAGACGCCCAGAAATTACAGCCATGCGCTGTGCGGTGTTCATGAAATCCGAAGGCGTGTAATTAATTATGCATTCTTTTCTTTTATCTTAATTCGCTTAAATGGCAACGATTACTGATATTTGAAGGATGAAGTGAGAAAAAGTATTTAGTTAGGCAGAACACCATCGAAAGAAAAGCATCTCTCTGATTCTCTAAACATTTATAAAGGTAAGTCTACTGCTTTCAGATATTTGAAATAATAATATTTCATAAATCTTAAATGATTTTATATACCTATAATATAGCGTTTAGTGGAAGTGTTCATATTTTGTTTGAAAAATTACTGTGTCTTAAGACAGTAATTTAAAGATGCTCAACTTCATTTGGCAAAATAAATCATTTGCTAATTCAACTTCAATATATTATTCTTATTTTGTTAAAAAAAAAGAAAAAAAAGGGTACTAGGAAGCGGTGGTAGATAGCTTTAACAATGTGTCACTGTAACTTTGTATAATTGTCCGTGAAAGGAGTCCCGGGTGGCCATTTAATAACGCAGTGTTACGATCATGGGTTAAGAAATTCAATTAATAATTCAATTATACCGGTTCATGATAAATCACATTGTCAATATGCTAGGAATCAGAGATTCTACATAGTTTACTTATTTAGAATCAAATGTCTAAACTTGCAAATTCGGTTACATTACTACATTACTTTATTTCCATATATTGCATACATACATTGGGGATCACGTGGCTATGTGGGTAAGACGCTGGCTCGCTAGCCTGGAGGTCGGGTGTTCGATCCCTGCATTGACCGAGAAAGTTCATCGAGATTTTCCGGCGTGGTAAACTCTTGTCAGTGATACAGGACGGAAGGTATGACAAGGACAGCTGTCTAGTCCTTCGGATGATACGAAAAACCGAGGTCCCGTGTATACATTAGAATGCACGTAAAAGATCCCCTGGCAGTTGGAATTCGATATAAGAGTAGGCGATAGTGCCGCTGCCCGGGCAAAATTTCCCTCATAGCCCAGCGCAGGAGCAGAACAGTAGGACGTTAAACCACATTTCATTTCATTTCGTATACATACATTGGCTAGACCATAAGGTTCTTCATGGAGTCAAGTGGCGTGGTTTCGATTCCCGCGTGTACGTGACAAGGAGTAGGATCGCCTGCCCAACCTCGTGAGTTTTATCCGGCTCCTACGGTTTCCTTCCACAGTTAAAGACTCCTACGCCGCATATTCGCTTGTCCGCTACTATTACTGAGATGAGATCGTGGCGAGTTAATTATCTCTCAATATTAACATCTTGTTCTTATGCAAATTAATTTCTAAAACATTTTATTTAAATTCTTAAGATAAAACATAAGGTGTTGGCAGTCAATCTGGATGAAAAAATATTTCTTATTTAGTGTAAATAGTACGCGAAGGCGTAAAAAGAGTAAAAAGCAAATCTGCTCGTACCAGTTTGTGTTTTACGTCCCATGTAAACAACGCACGTGTTATTGATACCGTACGATGTGATGGGTTTAACGTCACTCGACATAAACTGGGTCATTTTGGGACTAACATACGGTTCAATTTTATTTCAATAATTCGCTTGCGCTTAGGGGTCTTTAGCAGTGGGAGGAAACCCTACTCCTTGTCACGTACAACCGGGGAATCGAAACCACGCCAGTTGACTCAATGACAGACCTTAGGATGCAACTCGCACGCGCTAACCTTTCGGCGATCCACCCCACTTTAAATTTGGAATAACAAAAAAATATATGGGGTAACGATCATACGGTTCGTCATTTATTTCGAGTGTCCTGGCTTCGATTTTACGGAGGTGTTTGATAAGGAGTATTGTCGCCCACTTAACCTCTTCGGATTCCCAAGTTTCGAGCTGAAGAGCCATGCGCGTAAGCGAATTATTTAAAAAAAAAAAAAGATATTCAACTTTAATTCCGAACTGAACTAATTTGTGTTGAATTGAAGACCCCGTGAGCCTAACACGTTTCTATGATGTTGGGAGATACGCACCAGATTTTGCGCACTACGTACACACGGAATCCTAGCTTACCGCGGTACGTCGTAAATTGCAATAAGTATTTAATGCCCAATTTACCAAGTCGCGTTAGTTTTGAAGTTTGATTTAATAGTGAAATAAGTATTTTGTTTGAAAATACCAAGAGTCAATAATTTAATTATGGCGTATAGTCTATTTAGCATACAATTCAACTCAAGTACAACTCGTTCAAGCACTATTGATATTTCCGATCAAAAATAACTTACTTTAAAATCGTTCTTTTAAAATAACCAACAGTTTGATGGATTTACTGTTACAATATTGTACAACTTCATTGATTTTTCCCGAAGCTTTCTCCATTTAAAACTTCTGTTATTTGTACAAGAAAGGAACATTTATGTCTTACTATTATTTTCCATTTTAACAAAACAGTAGACGTCATTTGCGGATAACGTTAAGTTCGAAAAAGAAAAGATGACTTTGTCTTTTCGAAGTATTTAGTTAGTTTAAAAATTTCATAAGAGTACTTATTTATCGACTTTTTATGAAGGGCAATAATCTTAAATTAATTTAAGATCAATGCAGTTGTTTTTTTTTCAATTCATTTATTACCACGCGATAAAGTTTGTCTTGGGTTAAAAATAAAACTGTATCTGAAGGTCAATACATCCAAAATCTGCACATCATTAACACCCTAAATCTACTAGTGATACGATATTTATTTATTAACAATTTCATTGATATTCGTTTCCTATCAAATATAATGAATTGACATTTTTTATTTAAATTAACTATTTTGCCTATACCGTTTTTTAGGACTTCGAATTTTGTCTAATGGTTTGGATTGTTCGTACTTGGTTTTATTTTATTTTTTTATTCCTATGAAATATGATAAATTAAAATTTTATTTATATTAACTTCCTATCAAATAAAGTAAATTAACATAAAATTTATATTAACTTAATATTTTATTTATATTACGTTCCTATAAAATATGATAAATTAACATTTTATTTATATTAACTTCCTATAAAATAAAATAAATTAAAATAAAATTTATATTAACTTAAAATTTTATCTATATTACGTTCCTATGAAATATGATAAATTAACATTTTATTTATATAACGTTCCTATAAAATATCATAAATTAACATTTTATTTATATTACCTTCCTATAAAATATGATAAATTAACATTTTATTTATATTAACTTCCTATAAAATAAAATAAATTAAAATAAAATTTATATTAACTTAAAATTTTATTTATGTTACCTTCCTATAAAATATGATAAATTAAAAATTTATTTATATTCACTAACTATATGATTTCGAATGGAGGCGAAACTGGATACCCTTCTTTATCACCCAATAACACAATAGCAGATATCGCGCGTGTGATAAATGCCATATTCTACTGAGCGACATCTCCTACTCTACATGAATTTGATTGGTCAATTAAAAAGGAACTACCTTTTTTATTACAAAGAAACTACTGTTATTTAGTTTATATTACAACATAGCTACCACTAACGTTTTTAACTCTGGTGACTAAGTTTCAGTAGACTTTCCTGGACAAGGAACACTGGGTCAATAAATGTGACTTTGAGACGGGTGACTTGCTGTCAAAAAATGATGTATCACTCAGTGGTAATGTAATCAGGTTCAGTAAAAGCGAAATCTATACCAAAGAATTATATTTATTTATTTGTACGCGTAAGAAAGGCTTGGGTGATAAATAAATTCTCCTTCTCGTCTTTTTTACATCAAAAAATATCAACACTTGTCGACTTGTGTTGATATTTTTTGATATAAAAAAAGACTCGTAGGAGGTTCTCGATTACTCTTTATATGTAACACCATTGGCCATGAGTGTGTATTTCAGAGCAGAACCTATAGGTTAGTCATCTGTAGCGGGTCCACTTCCGGGTACGAAAATGGCCTGCGAGGAACTGTATGCGGTTGCGAACAGTAGTCCGTCGATTTCCAAATATTTTTCTGTTTGTCTTATTAGACCCCAAATCATCCACCATTGTTCTTTTTTAAATATGTTGACAGGATTATGGATATTATGGGACGTCTCGTTTTATTACTGATAGTACTATCACAAGTCACCATGGTAACGGCACATAGGTACGGATTGAACGCCCAGAAAAGACAGAAAACCGATGACGAAGGATACAGAATGGGGTATATATTTGGTAAAAGATCACAGTTAGACAATGATCGTTTATTAAAAGCCTTTTCAAGGTAAGTAAACTTACTTGTACTGCACCCATTATCAGTGGTGCCGGGCGGAGGGCCTGGAAAGGGATAATATAGTCGTATGGATGGGACGAAAAACCTAGGTCCCGTGTACGCACATTGGCGTGCACGTAAAAGAAACCTTGGCAGTTGGAATTCGATATAAGAGTAGAGCGTAGCGGTGCTGTCCTAACACGTCTTCATTAGCTCAATCGGAGCAGAAAAGTAGGACTCTAAACCCCATTTCATTTCACTTTTATTTTACTCTACCCGTTATTCACTGCACGTGTACTGAGAAAAATGCGCGAATTTATTTTAACGATGGATCCATAGTTATGGGCCACTTATGCAATCAGTGGGCAATTGTCCAAAGAGCAAACGTTCCAAGCGATCTTACATAAATCTGGGAGCGTTAAGCTTTTATCGAAGAGCGTCGGCTCCAAGAACAAAATGAGTATCTCTTGGACAGCAGTTCTTCCAGAAAATGTTTTCATTGGAGTCCATTTCCGGTTAAAATTGATTAATATGTATTAAATACTCTCATAGATGTGCCTGTAAACACATACGATGTGACTGGGAATGCAACCGACACAAAGAACAACTTTTTTGTTTCACAACAAATCTCTTTTGTCATTATTGGAAGCCATTTTTGATTCCGACTGATCAAAAGATATTGTATTTTCCCGTAAACATTAGAATTGGAAGGCTTACTAGCGTGAACAAAGTTCAGTTTTGTCTTTTACCGTTGCGTGGGGGGTGGGGGGGGGGGTGGGGGGTGCATTATTGTTTTATCTATACGTTACTTTATCATTACTTTATATTTCAGACAAACATTAACAGCTGGTGAGTTTGAGAATCTGGCTAGTAGAGATCCAGTCATTGCTGCCATCATTTACAGAACACGAAGTGGAAACGGTAATTCAGCTAATTAGTTACTAACATCCCCTAGGTATACACACAAATATCTACGCAGTGAGGGCAGACAGGATAGGCAGTCGCCTATCCTGCCCTCATCAGTGCAAAAGGAAAAGAAACGGGAAATGTTTGATAACGCTCGGATTCGATGAGATTTCCGACCAGGGTATTCGGGTTGTGGTGATATTTACCCTCCCTTCGAAAAAAAGTGCCTTCCCTTTTGAAAATACTCATGGAAATGCCCGCGATAATGTCATCATATTCCCATTGCACTTATGACAATATTTTGCCCTCTTTTCCTACTGTCCTGCCCTTGTTCCTACCAGATCCTGCGACAATAATAAATACCACTCGCGCTCAATGTACGTACATGCACCATCGGTCAACCCTCGCTGCTGGTTGGCTTTCATCCTCAGTTGGACAGGGAACCATTCAACGCTGCTGATGATCGACTGAAAGTGGCTGATATTTCTTTGATTTCGGTTTCGATTTTAAAAAGATCGCAGTTTGCAACCATTTATGATCGGACTGGTTAGCTCGAGGCCCTCGGGGCCACGGCCTGTGTCTAAATCTTAATCTTGCTCTTCGGGTTGTATCAGTTAACCCTTAACTGCTACTCCTCCCGGGGGGTTGGATGACCGAATGGTTAGCGTGCGCGCGCTGTATCATAAAGTCTGTCATTGAGTCGACTGGCGTGGTTTCGAATCCCCGGTTGTAGGTGACAAGGAGTAGGGTCGCCTGTCCAACCTCGTGGGTTTTCTCCGGGTCCTCCGGTTTCCTCCCACTGCTAAAGACCCCTACGCGCAAGCGAATTATTGAAATAAAATTAAAACCATATGTTAGTCCCGAAATGACCTAGTTTGTGTCGAGTGGACGTTAAACCCCATTTCTCTCTCTCTCGCTACCCCTCCCTCATTAACTAACATAATCGCATGAAACTTGACAAGTATCCTTTGTAAAGCGGCCAATACATGTTCAATTTTTTCGTCAATTAATTTGAATTGAGCAAATCGGATTAAAATACAGATCTATATTTCGTTTCGTTTTTTTATACTTTCGATGGCCTCTACTAAATGAAGATCTGACCAGTTGTCAGGGTCAAATCGGCGTTGACGTTTCTAGTAGGATACCCACAGTTCCGCGCACAGCACGCCAAGAATTCGCCTTAACAGAACGTTTCATTGGCTGACCCCTCACATCAACCAGAACGCAGGTTATATAACAACTCTTCCACATCCTAGTGTAGTTAAACCAATTTTGAACTATAAAAAACAAAACGAAATAGGATCTGTGTTTTAATTAGATTGACTCGTAGCTACAGAACCAAACATTTCCCGGTGCTGCCCCCCCCCCACTTTAAAGTGTCCTACGGTTGGTCTGCCTTCCCTTTCTCGGATGCCCCAGCATATAGATGTTATCTAGCATTGGACGTTATATAATATATACAACTTTGATTTAAATGTAGGCTATGGTTCGGATTTTGTGCCAACTATGTGAAGGGAATATGCTGAATATTTCAGTCAAATTGCTCCAATCTGAACCGAGATATTAACGTTTGGATTTTAGGCCTAGCTTCGATCATCATTACTAAAGTCGGTACGATTAAAAAAAACGTAGTCTCGGTTATTCAATTTTGGATTAAATCATCAATGAGCGTTGAGCAGCAAATCGGATTCAACTCCAGAGGAAATCCGACACTTAAGATTAAGGTCTTTCCGTGTTAAGAGATGCCTCATTAATAGTTTATATAACATTTAAAGGAGCCAAGTCGCTAATATTTGGGACCTAGAAATTGACACAAATGGGTCGCAACGCATATAATAATGTAATATGCATGGATATAAATTGATTTACATTCAATCGTTTCTGTTTTTACCGTAATTTCTAATCAGTTAGGTTCAGCGAAATACGCCAGTATTCTCAATCGAATTTCAATCTCTAGCGTCTGGTTATTCCAGTCTACACCGATAGTATTTATTGAGCATGCTCTCCAGATAAGAATATAGCGTCACCGTTTGACATAACTTGTGGAATATGCCTAGCCTCGTTTTTCGAGTCCCTTATTACAAATAGCGCTGAAACGCATTATGGTACGCGATTCGTGTACCTATTGTAAAATGTTTATTTTGTCTTTAAATATTGGATATCAGAAGGCCATCTTTTCCCGTTAAGATCACAACATCAATGTTGATTTAAACCGACAAATAAATCGTGTTTTCAATGTCGAAGATTTTGGATGATATTGAGTTGATTTAGCTACTTTAAGGCCCAAATAAAGACCTGCAGTAGGCAGATTTGGCTCTTGCATAATGTATGTTTAATTCTACTGTATAACATATGTAATTTATATTTTAGGTGATAGACTCGTACAAGTAGACGAGAATCTTTAAAAGAACTGACGAGGGAGGTGGAAAGAATATCCTGTGGTATTGCAGTGCATTGGCGTGTACATAACAAAATAAACATTTAATATTTAAATGGATAACTGATCATAGATACAACCAACCATAAGTGAAAATATTTCGCCTATTCACTGTTATCAAGTATTTTCTATTAAAATTAATTAAAAGGCGGAGCTACTTAATACAACTACCATCTTATTTAAAATTCTATTCAGCACGTGATCTCATTCATTTACTTAGTACTATTCAAAACATACGTATTCTACCAATCTGATTAAAATACAGATCCTATTGCGTTTCGTTTTTCTTTTCGATTTCGTTTTAATTTGTCTTTACGTGAATGACTTCCCACATTCGGCAAACCTCGACAGATTCTACGAATCTAATCTCGGCTGTATAACCATTTCCGCCATATTTGAACTATTTTAAAGGTTCCGAATGAAAAATGGCTTCCCCATGGAGATTTCTGTGGAGAGTGTATTATATCAACAAACGTCACGTTTGGCATTGGGTTTGGGGAATTACCAGGGAATTTTATCAAACCAGCAGCCTTGAGACAATATCTCTGCTCATTTACGTATATACACTCTACAAAAGACGCAATTTGGGACTTTTTTGTAAAAGCGACACGTTTTCCTGTTTAAGGTAAACCGGTAGCCGGATCGCAAATCTATGGGCGTAGGCACATATCACTTACTGTCATACAGCCGAGATTAGATGTAGGGTATCGGAATCTGTCGAGATTTTCCGAGTGGGTATAGTCGATGTTTACCCACAGCGTGCATGGAATTGTGGGAAACGACGTAGAGCCGTAAAAGAAATGAATAGCCGACATAAAAAAAGGCCATTCACCTACAATGAATGACCTCTGAAGTAACCCTCCATGATACCCGATCAGATTCAATGCAATGGGTACCATCTAAAGCATAACAAAATAACTAAATTTCGATATTTTAGCCAGATTGAATATTTCTAATTTTGAAAACGAGATACGATCAGTGAAGTTGGTGATTGTGAGTATTACTACTAGTATATGTTCTTTCTCCAGCTACTATAATACTCATCCAGTAGGGGATAATTCCATTCATTGGCACTGTTTCGTCTCCAAAAGAAGGAAGCAACGTTGCATTATAATAATTATAATAATAATAATAATAATAATAATGATAACCAATATAACATATTTAATGATGTAGTTTTTAATACTTGATATTAAATAAAGCTTTATCTGATCTTGTTTTCTTGTTTTGTGTGCTCCGTTATTTTGCAGGCATTAAATAATATCTTCATAAACCGTCATGAAATGAAATGAAACTGGGTTTAAAGTCCTACTGTTTTACATCGACCGGGGTAATTAAGACTGGCATACGCTATGCACGTTGTTATAAGGGGAATTTTACCTGGAAAGCGGCACTAGGGCCTACTCTAATAGAGAACTCCAACTGACAGGGGATATTTTACGTGCAAGCCAATGTGTACATCGGACCTCAGTTTTTTTGTCCCATTCGAACGACAAGACACCGTTCCTTGTCAGGCTCTCCGTTTGAATCGCCACGATGTGTTAAATGACATACATGTACATTATACGGGAGGCTGGAGATGATTCGACCCTTTGAAAGTATCATCTGACAAGGAAACGGTTTCAGGTAATCGGTCATTTTGATTGGTCATGAAATCGCGACACGTTCAATCAATGACATGAAATGAAATGATATGGGGATTTAACGTCCTACTGTTCTGCTCCTATACTGGGCTAATGAAGACGGCCATACGCCATACAGTGTGCTATGAGGGAAATGTTGCCCGGGCAGCGGCACTATCGCCTACTCTTATATCGAATTCCAACTACCAGGGGATCTTTTACGTGCATTCCAATATATACACGGGGCCTCGTTTTTTTGTCTCATCCGAAGGACTAGACAGCTGTCCTTGTCAGGCCCTCCGTTCCGCACCACTGACAAGGTTGCCAAACAGTTTCGGATTTACCAATAGGCATCTACTTAATACTTCGAGAACAGATCTTTGCCCTCCATTGCCGCCAGGGGGTTGGATGGCCGAATGGTTAGCACGTCCGCGCTGTATCATAAGGTCTTTCATTGAGTCAACTGGCGGGCTTTCGATTCCCCGGTTGTACGTGACAAGGAGTAGGGTCGCCTGTCCAACCTCGTGGGTTTTCTCCTGGTCCTCCGCCGGTTTCCTCCCACTGCTAAAGACCCCTACGGGCAAGCGAATTATTGAAATAAAAGTGAACCATGTGTTAGTCCCGAAATGTCCTAGTTTGTGTCGATTGGACTTTAAACCCCATTTCTCTCCCTCTTGCTTTCTCAATTGCCGCCATACACAACAAGGACATCACTACCGCTGCAATGTACGTTCACATTCCTGCTTTGATTGATATGGTACATTGAAAATGAAGAGAATGAAATATGAAATGGCTGTACTGCAATGACTGTAAAATGGCAAGAGGCAAAGATGGCGAGGCGTTGGGTTTGTTTTGCCAGATTAACAGACCAAATATTAACAAAAACGGTGATGTGACACCGTCGTAGGGGGTCGGGGCATGCACCAAAATAAATAATTGCTGTCTTTACGGTATGGGGGTTGGATAGGGAACAATATAAATAGGTACCAATCTGTTATTGAAATGATTGATACGCTGAATTTGAACAAAATTTGTTGCAACCTATAATGTATTTACAGATACACATGCACCAAGATTCCAGCCTGTAGACAAAACACTCAAAGACTGGGCGTGGCTCTGCCCCTGGGGCTGCACATGGACCAATATAAATAGGCACAACTCTATGATGGATCATACCGAATTGGATCCAAATCTGTTAATAATAGCAACCAGTACATTATTTACAGACACAATATTAGCAAAAAGAGGGTGTGGCAACATCCAAGGGAGGGGGGGGGGGGTCATGCCGTCCTTAGGGTATAAGGAATATGCATACCACGTTCCAAGATATTCCATTCAATATGGCCTTCAGGTGCTAAACACAAAAATTGGAGTAAAATCAATATTTGCCGTCCTTACGCTAAAAGGGATACATATGCCAATTTCCAAGACGATCCATTAAGAAGTGTGATCTGTAGGTAACAAACAGACACAAAATAAAATTGGGTGTGGCTCTGCCCCTGGGGGTCGGACATTCACCAAATATAATAGGGATCATCCTTAGGGTATAAGGCATATGTATGCAAGTGACAAACAGACACACGCACACACAATTGTGCGTAGCTCTGCCCATTGGGGTTGGGCATACACCAAAAACAATAGGGATCATCCTTTGGGTATCAGGAATAAGTATGTAAAGTTTCAAGATAATCCATCAAGAATTGCGCCCTGTAGGCGACCCGGCGACCCACAGACACCCCCCTCCCACACACACACACCACCACCACCACCACCACCACCACACACACACACACACACACACAGGGCCGACAGCAATATACGCCCATATTATGAATGGAAATGCGATCTATGGTAAAACGGAATAAAAATAAAAGAGGAATTTCTTATCTAAATTTTGTTTATTTTACATAACACTCTACTCCCATTATCATTGCTTGGAAATACACAAAATTGAAAATTCCGACAATCCATTAAAGACGCACTATGTAAGATTTAAAAACTAGATAATGAAAAAGGAATATTTTGAAAATTTCAGTCAATTACTTCATCCTGGGCGACGTTTGGGCTGTTTGGAGAATAGCGGAGTCTGGCTTGTAAGTGCTACCGTTACGATAGTAAACAAAGTCTCGATTATCAATTTTTATTGAACGCACCAACCACCAATCTTGTTTAAATCCGTTGAAAATCTCGATCATCCGATTATAGTCTTGGCAGGTTAATAAAAATGCCTAATTACTAATTTATATAACAGTTTACGCCTAAAGAAACACCTGCAATAGACAGATTTAGCTCTTGCATAATGTATGTTTAATTATAAAGACATCTCAAATGTTATGTAAGGGAATGTTTAAAATTATAAACACATATGTGACCGTAAGTTATATGATATTATACAATATTATTTTGTCTTCAAATATCTCACCCTATTGATAATTTCCAACATCTCAGAGGCAAGGAATTGGATGGTTTTTGTTGCCGTATATGTTTGATCTAGTTAATGTTCAGTTGTTTTTTTTCTTAAAATTAATTTTATGGTGTATATCTACTTCAATGCCAAGTACCGCAGTCGATTTCTAAAATAAATTCAGAGTTCCGCTGGTGGATCAGTGAGTGAAGCGCCTTCTTGCTAACCAGGATATTCAGGGTTCAGTCCAGGGGTTGACCGAGAAAATTCTCGCTATTTTCTTGAATGGTGTTCACTGGTCAGTGATGCAGGATGGAGCGCGTGGCAAAGAACAGAGTATAGCCCCATGGATGGAACTAAAACCCCGGGTTTCAAACAATAGTAGACTGTAGGCTGTTCATTAAACAGACACTATGAAAGAGCTACGAGCGTAAGTCTGCCTATTACAGGTCTTTCTTTAGGCCAGAAATGTTATATAAATTATAAATTAAACATTAATGCTGAAAATTTCAGCATATTCTCTTTCCATTATCTATTTTTAAACTGTTATAGCAACAACTGTCAGCTCTTTATCTAATCTTACCTAATGCCGCTTTAACCCGATTCACCCATTTCGAACCCTGTGTGTATGTATATATACACATAGTTATATTACGCCCACCAACCAAACAAGGAAGTAAAGATAATTCACAATAGTTTTTATACTCGTCTCATGTATCGCTACTCAACTGACCTGGGTTATTTACGTGTGAAGCTAATTTAAAAACCAGATAAACAGGTTTGCCACAGATTATTATTTGATATTTGGAAGGATTTTTCAACAATAAGGCACGGGCGGATCCAGAGGGGGGGGGGGGAGGGCGCGTCGACCCTGCTCAGCTACATAATTTGTTTTATATATAAATCAACACTTTTTATGAGAAAACTTTCTCGGCCGTGTTCTTTATCCTTTATCGTCAGATGTGGGACAGGATGGGCACCCAAACCACGAGATAATGATATAGACATTGTGATATCACAATTAATGCTTTGCATCCATGAAATTAAATCACAATGTCATTGTATTAATTCATAATAAAAATTGACGTCAAACGAAGTGTTGAATTTCTGTTTAAAAAGCTCAATGTGTATGTATGTATATACCCCAAAATGACGATAGAGGCAATGCGGGAGGGGGGGGGGAGATACATTGACTCAGTAACCTGGCAAACCCCCTCCTGCAAAAATTCCTGTATCCGCCCCTGTAAGGAGGGTGTTTATTTTCTTCTTTGCATATAGAGTGTTATTCGATGCATTTGTATTGTTACATATACACCAAGAACTCAGTCATTATTCGGGGATTAGATATAGAAGGGGTCACATCAGTTTAAATTGAATTATCATAGGATGTTACATCAATGGATTATTCATTTCATATAAGATGTTATTTTGATACTGAAAGGTAACTTATAAGAAGCTATATTAATATAAAGATGATATATATTAATAATACTATTTTAGTAATGTATTATATGTTATACTTATTTGCGACATTTATGTCATGTTTATTTATGATATTAATGTCATATTAATTTATGATATTTATGTCTTAATTTATGATATTTATGTCATGTTTATTTATGATACTTTTTTTTTAGTTGGTAGTTTGCAGGTAATTATGTTTCGTTAAAGGACTTGCTTGCATTAACTACTTGTACTTTATGTTTGTATAGTGTCTGCTGTCAATACAATACAAGGAGAAGAGCGGGGTACGGAGTATGGGTACCTTAGTGCTTGTGATTTTGTCTTTTCTTTTGTAGGGGGCGTGTGGAGGAAGGCGGGGGAGGGGGGCTGCAGACAACTGAAGTGTACGAGAGATAGCAGTGGACGCTTTCGGCTGCCTTCTGGGTCCATTCATCTGATTTGATATATACGCATGCAAATGTTTATGTATGGTGTGTCCCATGTCAACTTACTATTCACCTAGTATGCTAATGTGCTTATTTAATGCATGTAACTTAATACTTAGGCTACTGATAGTATATTGACAAGCTAAGTACACAAAAACGTTAAGTTATGTGACAAAGTTTATATACTATTCAAAA